CTACCACAAAACTCTTATCTAGGTTTATTCTCAAATTTGATACCTCCTCAAAGTGTTGTATTAATGCTCTGAGATTCCTCACTTTTTGCCTGCCACCCCCTTCACAAAATATTATGATATCGTCAGCAAACTGTAGGTGGGTTACCCTAATATTGTTCCTTTCTATCTTCCAGCCACTCACATCCTCTTCCCTATTTGCCTTAGAGATTAATCTGCTAAAGACATTTGCAACTAAGGTGAAAAGAAATGGGGAGAGTGGGTCACCTTGTCTGAGGCCTCTACAAGCAGGGAAAAAATCTTTGACCACCCCATTCACCAAGACTGAGTAATGACAGGAGCTAATACAACCCTTTACCCAGTTGCACCATCTATCTCCAAAACCACAATACCCAAGGACCTCTAGTAAAAAAACTCCAATCCACAAGATCATAAGCTTTCTGTAAGTCTAACTTACATACAAAACCTTGATTCCCCGACTTTCTCATGTCCTCCACACACTCATTTGCTATTAGGATCTGATCTGTTATTTGCCTTCCTTGCACGAAAGCACCTTGTGTTTGACTAATGATGGTTCGAACATAAGCCAAATAGATTTTTTCCTTATGAGGATAGAATGAATGATGTGTAAAGGTTGCAAAGTTATTTCAGTTTGCAGATGATATTTTAGTCTTTTATTAACATTATGTTTAAAACTTTTATTTTAAAATTTAACTTTATATTTTTATTAACATTATGTTTAATATTTTTTGCATTTTTAAAATTTTTGGCTTTTTTTTTGAATTTTTGGACTTTTTTTAGCAATTTTCTTTTTTGTAATTTGCGCCTTGCTTCAAAAAGGCACATGCCTCGCCTTGCGTCTTGCGCCTCAAGCACAATTTGGCCCTTGCGCTTTTAAAACACTGATCTGGACTAAAAGCTTATTGGATGGCATAAATGTTGAGGAAGGTGATTTGAAGGATGACAGATTCTTTGGGTTGCGAGAAAGGGGATTGGCCACTTAAATACTTAGGATTACCTCTAGGTGACAACCCTAGATCACTCAACTTTTGGGTCCCAGTGGTGGAAAGGCTTGAGAAGAGATTAGTTGGGTGGAAGAAGAATTATATTTCTTTGGGAGGAAGAATATCCTTGATCAAATCCACCTTAGCAAACCTTCTTGTATATTATATGCTGGTCTTCAGGATGCCCCAAGTTGTTTGCCGGTCTTCAAAATCCCAAGTGGGATAGCTAGGAAGTTGGAGAACTTAATGAGGGATTTTCTTTGGGAACCGGGGGAGGGAAAAAAAAGGATCATAGAGTGAGGTGGGAAGTGGTGTATTGGAGCAAGAGACTAGGGGGTTTGGGAATTGGGAATGCACAGAAATGAAATTCAGCTCTTCTAGGCAAATGTTTGTGGAGATTTCCTGATGAGAAAGAAAAAATATGGGCTAAGGTAGTGGTGAGCATTCATGGGTCAACAGCAAATGGTTGGGACACTGGAATTAAAGCAAGGACTACAAGAGCATCCCTATGGAAAGTCATCCTTCCTTTATTCTTGCCTTGGATTAGGTATGACTTGCACTCTGGGAACTGTATTAAATTTTGGGAACAAGTGTGGGTGGGGAATTCTTCTTTGAGGGATCAATTTCCTTCTTTGTTTTCCTTGTTTCTTTATAAAAATGAGCCTATTTCTACCTTCCTGGTTCCTTCCAATTCTGGTTCTGGGTTTCGTTGGGACTTGGGCTTGAGAAGAGCTATTAGGGATACTGAGTTAAATGGTGCCATGTCTCTGATGAGTGTACTTGATGGGGTGTTTTTGGACCCTCTTCAAGTTGATAGAAGAATTTGGACTCCCACACCTCATGGTTTGTTTACTTGCTCTTCTTCAACATCCTAACCCAACCAGCAGCTAATGGGGGTCTACCTTTTCTAAAGAGGTGTGGAGCAAACCTATTCCACCTAGGATTGGTTGTTTTTCCTTCTGCCTTTCTTCATTTCTCCTTTTTTTCCCATCCAACCACAAAAAAAATAAAAAGAATAAAAAACCCCAACTCCTTGAGGGAGTGGTCAACTCTCCCTAAACAGAACCATCTGAAGCTCCAACCTCCAATTGGGTATGATGTTTCATGGGCTATGCCCAGATATGGATGGTGACACAAAAAGAGGTTTGGGAAACAGGGCTATACAGGATAATATCATGCATTTCTACCTAGTTTTTGAAGTGCCATTTCTCAGTTCTTTTATCTTGCTAAATTTAATTAAGCTTCTAATAAATACATGTATTTGATGGTATGATTTGTTTAAAAATGTTTCTTACATATTTTAGAAGTGCTAGTGCCATAAAGTATACTCTCCGTGGTATGACCAGTGGGTGTGCACCCTGCTCTGCCCCACCCCTGATTCCCCTGTAATGTGTAGTATGTAATACCAAAAAAAAAAAAAAAGAAGGCATTTTTAATAAACTCCTGTTGTATTGTGTATTTGTGTATCGTGCCCAATATAGGAATGCTATGCATTTGAAGGTATCCAAGTATTATGGTTCATTGATGCTTACCCATGAATAATAGGGCTTTGGGATGCCTGGTAAAAATGGTAAAGTATCGTGGAAATATACACTCCTTGAAGTTTCTTGTAGAATTTGCAAGGAAATTTATGTTGGAGCCAAGTTAGATACAAGATTTTCTGACCACTAATAGTTTTTTATATTTTAGCAAATAGAGGCATTTTGGTCATTGTACATGCTATCTAAGAGTTTGATTTGTCTAGTTTTCATTGGTTCATACTTAAAGCTTCAGAGTCATTGCGCAAGTAGTTTAGGATTTAGTTCCTTTGAATTAAAGTAGGATAGTGGCAATCTTGTACCTTATTTTCCTTAAGTCAATTAGAACTTTTATTGGTCTACAATCTATAAATATGTAACATTTTAAATATCAATTAGTTGAGTTTAACCAAATTCTAATAGATTAATT